AGTTTTTTTCATGTGAGAACAGATATATTCAAACAAATTACAGCATGGTTAAGAGTATGTATGATATTTTACCAAAGGATATACAAAAATAAATATTCTTCATTCTATTAATATGCAAATGGACCGCACTAGATAGTACAAAATGTACCACATTTTATTTAACTTCATTCTAGGCGCTAGACACCTGAGTTATTTTGATATCTCTCAGTAAAGTACTTGATCTTATTGACTTGTTTGATTTTCTGCATAATATACACCACAATGTAAGTTTACTGTCACCTTTCCCACAAGAAAATAAGTTTATATTTTTCTAGGTAGCCTAGAATTACTGACACATATTGAAAGTGACAAATCAGATAAATTAATGAATACACAGTCAAGAACAAAAAACAAAAATGTAAACAATTTACATCTTTAAAAAATACTAATAGACCCCAAAATTTAACCATAAATTTAAAAAAAATTTTTTTAAACCATAAATTTAAGGAAATGTACTCCAGCTTCCTTCTGGAGGACTACTTATTCTACAAAGGGAGAGAAAAACATAACAAAGAAGAGTATAACAAAGTACCCACCTTTCCCTTTAGTGCACTGGTGAAGAACAACATTGACACTGTCATAGAAACAGATATCTCATCAAATACATCCCAAGTATGTGGGTAAATCACAAAAATGACTATAATATTGATAAAGGGTGAACTGGGCTTCCCAGGGGGCTCAGTGGTAAAGAATCCACCTGTGAATGTAGCAGATGCAGATTCAACCCCTGGGTGGGGAAGATCCCCTAGAGAAGAAAACAGCAACCCACTCCAGCCTTCTTGCCTGGGAAATAATCCCACGGCCAGAGGAGTGTAGTGGACTACAGTTCAGGGTATGTTAAAGAGCAGGACACAATTTAGTGACTAAACAACAACAAAATCAAACAAGGCCTTGTAAAACAAAAAGCCATTTATAGATCACACTGTGCTGTGCTGCGCACAGTCATGTCCAACTCTTTTCAACCCCATGGACTGTAACCACCAGTTGCCTCTGTCCATGGTGAATCCTCAGGAGTAGGTAGCTGTGCCCCCCTCCAGAAGATCTTCCCAACCCAGAAACTGAACCCACGTCTTCTGCACTGCATGTGGATTCTTTACCGTCTGAGCCACCAGGGAATCCTGAATACTGGAATAGGTACCCTATGCTCTCTCCAGGGGAACTTCTAAGCTCAGGAATAAAACTGGGCTCTCCTGCATTGCAGGCACATTCTTTACCAGCTGAGCTACTACGGAAGCCTACAGATCATACCACTGCCTCATTTATGATGATCTGTTCTCAATTCAAGAATGCGCCAGCAGTAACAAACTGAAATATGACCAGAAGTTACAGTGATCTCTGCAAGTTTTCATACATGTAATCTGGCATTCAGTAAATAATTCAAAGCAAATTGAAAAGAATTAAGTAAAAATAACAGAGAAAAATTAAGCTAAAACAAAAGAAACATAAATTTCAGATATCAGAAGTATCAAGCACTGACTTTCACATAACTAGGATTTAATATGTTCAAGAAAATAAATGATGGGTAACTTCAGCCCACAATCAGTAACCACATGAAAGTCCATCAGAAATTTTAAGAAAAAAGGGGAATAATAAAAATTAAGAACCCAATGTTGGTTTAACTACAGATCTGATGTAGAAAATGACATTAATGATTTGAAAAATAAATTAGAAGAAAACATAGATAAAAAGAGAGGACAAAAAGGTAGAAAATACAGAAAAAAAAAACAGAAAACGCAATGATAATACATACAATGTAAACACTAAGTGCTTAAAGGACGAAAGACAACTGAATAAAAGTAGTTTTAGAAGACGTGATCTCTTAAGTATAACATAAAGGGACAACAAAGTACAGATTCAAGAAATACAAAAATTCACAAACAGAAAATGGTAATTTTCGCCTAGGTGATAATGATAAAGCATTAGATGATCATGGTACCAAAAATGCAGGAAATAACGAAAAATTTTAAGTAATAAGCAAAAAAAAAAAAGAAAGAAAGAAACCAACAACTAAAAACCAAGGTAAAGGTGCATATAACCTTTTAAGAATCAACAAATGTAATCACAAGACCTGAAGAAAAATAAAGGCTGACAACAATGGAAGATAAATTTCTAAGTGGGGAAAAAAAATAAATTCTATACTCATTGAAAACTTTCATCAAAAGAAAAATAAAATGATTCATCACTGAAAATCAGGCACACAAACACACAAAATCACATCTCATACTACTACTCATCCTTCTTTAAGAACTGGTTTAATGAACTTCTTAAATTAAAATGTTAAATGAATATAGGAAAACCTAAAGTAACCAAGTCTTCATAACTTATCACAGTATGCCCAAGAACAAAAGACACATTTCTAATAAAAACATGGATCATTAACCAATACTGATAATAGTCTAAAAGCTAACTAAAAAAATTCCAACTGAAATAAATAATAAAGGTGTAAACAACAAATTTAAGATGGAGATCTATAATACTGAAAGTATAATTTGAAAATCCACTGTTGTATACATGACTCAACATATTATGTAAACTATAGGTCAAGGAAATCAACAAATCACAAATGAAATTAGAAAACATTTTGAAATAACAAGTGAATAACACTGTAAACTTTTAGAAAAACAAAAAAATAATTCACATTGTTTTTCAAACTAGAAATCAATCAATTAATGTTAAAAATTAATAAAAGATTATTGACTAATTCAAATCCAAAGGAAGGAATAAGAAAAGAACAGTAATTAACAAAACATAAAGCAATCATATAATAAATGCATATAAAAATTATTACATTTGAAAGACCTTGCCAACACTGATCAATAAAATCAGCAGGTGTTCACCACAGATCTTGACAGTTTGTAAAGAAATATTACAGGCCAGTTTAAGCCAATAGTCCTCAGATGAAACAGGGAAAAATTTTTCTTGCCCAAAATACAACTGAATCAAAATAAAAATCTACAACTCTTCCCAAAAGTAGTCACAGATACTTTTCAAAAGTATCCATAACCAAAACTTTTAACTATGAAACATCCAGTCCCAAGTGACTTAGCTGTTAAAATTTTCCAAATATTAAGAAACATAAAAACACTCTCTAACACAAACTCCTCTAAGAATAAAAAAATATGCTAAAATTTCCAAAGAACTGTGATTAATTTTAACCTTCAATTTCATTAATTCTGACTAATTAATCTTTAAAAAAAGACTCAAATGGGAAGGTTAAGAACTTTAATGATTGCTGGCTTAAAACTGGTACTTCCCCCTTCACCAAAAACTGCAATGCAACTAAGGTAGTTTTAACATCTATAAGTGTCGAACAGTCATAGTACTATGGTTTTGTGGCAGACATCAAAATGCACAGATGCTCAGGATACCTTATATAAAATACTTTAGTAGAGTTGGCCATGAGCATCCTCAGGTCCTGTGGTAAGAAACTTGAAGGTTTGTTGGGTCAACCATAGATTGAATATAACTAAAATGACTTCCCCTTTATCAACGAGTTAAAGGGAAAAAAAGTAATAATAATAATAATAAAAGCTATAAAGTAAACAAACACTTAGACTGGAAGATTTATCTGAAACAGGTAAAAGAAAGCTGCCTTTTCTTAAAATATGTATTATAAAATAGAAGTTATCAGATTAGAAGGAAATCCAACCTTGAGGGTTTATCAATTCTAATTCAGAAAATATGGAAACTTACGGTATGCTTTTAAGGGGTGTGGTAATATGCAGGGGGTACAGAAATCCGATGCCATTTTTTAAAGATCCCCATAATGGCTACTACGTAAGCAGGGTTTGGGAACATGACACTTAAATGATCTCAAACTATCTTACTACATTCATTTATAATATGCATTAAAAAAAACATATAAGCAGCTTTCCTTGTTTGGTATAAATTTGCACAGTACATACTCTTTCCCCATTATTTTACATTTGAACTAGAAACAAAAGAACAGGCCTCACAAATGTTCACAATATATCAAGTGTTTTCCCTCCTAGAAAAGCTGTTAACTTTATACTGAAACTCACATCTGAAATCAAAGCTAAAATGTTGTACTATATATACTATTGAGTAAGCCGTCTCCTGGCAACTTTCTGCTTTCAAATCAGACTATAAATTTATATGGTATTATAGTTATTAACTGAACAACCTAACAAAATATGTCACATACAAAATATTATAAAGTTAAACTGAAACAATTTTTAAAGCTTATAGTGAAGAAATAATATTAACATTAAAGGGTGACTATACTTTGTACTGGGCTTCCCCAGTGGTTCAGTGGTAAAGAATCTGCCTACAACGAATAGAGCTGGGATCGACCCCTGGAGAAGGAAATGGCCATGCATTACAAGATTCTTGCCTGGAGAATCCCATGGACAGGGGAGCCTGGCAGGTGGCAGTCGATGGAGTCACCAACAGTTGGACACAACCAAGTAACTAAAACTTTCATATTTTTCATACTGTGTGTTACAAATTACAGTGTTTCACAGACATTTCAGTATTGCAGAAAAACAGAAGCAATTATTCTAAGACAAAAACAGATTTCAAACATTCAAAAATATTCTAGAAAAACATTAGGATAGTAGAACACTTCTTAAGTCATTTCAAATTATGCAGATGACTGAAGTTCAGAGGCAAATCAAATTAAAGACAGTTTGCAGTGAAAGCGAAAGAATGTTTTGGAAATTTTTAAATCAGTGTGTTGAAAGTTGTTTCAAAACCTAGAAACAGTGAATATAGCCTTTAATTCCTTCATGCTTCTTGTTTGGTTTTAGCACTAAGCAAAATTTCGAACACATTTAATGAGTATATGAATAAGGGGCATAAACCCAAAATGGAATTAAATTAATTGCTATTATTTCATTTAAAGAAGAAAGTGTAAAATACAAAATTGCTTTTTATAACTCATGTCACTTAAAGCATAGATAAGGATTTTATTTTTGCTTTTGATAAATTAAAACACTTACCTGGGTTTCATACAAGTGGGCGATATGAAACTGAACTACAAAGGATCATGGAAAAGGATTAATTACAATACAACTGAATTTACAGTAATGAATGAAAACAGATATTATAATATTTGAAACATTAAAAATGTTTAAAAAATAAATCACAACTTAGAAGTGTAACTTTTGTTTTTAATATGCAAAAAATCATAAGCATGCTAACAAAATATAATTAAGCCATTATATAAAAAATTAATTTTTAATTCTATGAAAATACATCAAAATATACAAAGACAATCAACAGGTAATACACTAAAATTAAATCAGCAATAATAACTAGATATAACTTTTACAAAAAATATAACATTTTAAAATATATGTATCCTAAAACATATTTAAAAATGTTCACCTTAAAAACAGTTATTATTTAAGACTCAACTATTAGTCTAATAGACTCAAATAGACTAAAACTATTTAATAGTTTTAACATACTCAAGTTTTCTTCCTTTATAGATTTTTCCTTTATTGTTTTTTTCCTTATAATCTACTTAAACCTTTTTTTAAAAGTCAAAAGATTAGAGCAGTATTAGTAGACAAAAACATACAATTCCTTTTTTTTGCATCTTCAGAATTAGCTGAGTTTTTATTTAAAGAAGAAAAAAAAAGGCTTACCACCTAAAAAGCAAAATTATACAGTTTGTCTGAAAAAATTTCATAATGCTTCTTTTTGTTTTAACCTCTTTCTGATGCTCGGTTTGCAATTACCAGCACATGACAGGTTCAATGAAAACCAAAAGTATCAACAAAACAAAATTAGAATTACAGCTAAATTCCAGCTCTTTGAATTTTAAAAGGTTAAAATTTGTCATTAACAAATCCTTCTTGTTACACTGTAAGCAGAAGAAACTCTCACAATTTTATAGAGAACATAAATTACTTTTAAGAAAAAGCTTGCAGCAATCATGAAATTCTCATTAAATACCAAAATGTTTCTTCTGTTCTTCGCTTCTCTTTCCATCCAACTTTCTCTATCACTTTCTCTTAGTAGACAGCAGGAAGATTATACTCTCTTTAGGAAGCATAAAAAAAAAACCCACCAATTCTTAAGTTCAGCACTTAAAAATTCTGATTCACTGAGACTGAGGTATGAAGGCCTGGAAAACTTTCTCTTTATAAATTCCATCACTTTCAAAAAACTCCATATCCAGATTATTAAAAACTACATTCAATATCCATAACTTCCTCTATAAAACATAAAAATTATCTTAAAATATTTTAATTAACTCTAAAATCAGGTAACTTATCAATACAAAGTCACTGATCTATGTAAGTGGTTACACGTTATCATAAGGTAACAAAATATCCATAAGAGAATGAAAATGTTAAGAGAAGAAAATACTATTATAATAACTAAATAAACAACAAAATATAATTTACAAAATTTTAGAAGTCTCACATACAAAAATAACCTCTTTATTTAATTGATTAAGTAATTTTCTTTGTCCTCACTATCATTTCCTAATATAAGGTCAAATACAGTTAATAAAAATTTCATCTCACTCCATTATTTGAGGGAAAGTAGTTTATAGGTAAAAATAAGGAGAAGGATAGGTAATCTATATCCCGTTTTCCTCATCTTTGTATCTATCTAATAAGATAACAGAAAAGATATCTAACTGGCACAGTAAACCCTTATGAACATCCTACCAATTCAGTCTCAGGTCCTATACATCTGGCCTGATAATCCCATAAGGTGTTAATGACATCATTTATAAAGGGACAAATCTCTCACTTCATTCTTAAAACATAATTTGGAAGAGGAGTATAAATACTTAACTAGGAAAATACGTGACATGGAAATTTTCTAATACATATACTAAAACACTGACAACATTGCCAAAAAGTCTTAAAATCTAAACTTTATTACAAGAATTATTTTCAGAATATTAGGAATATATACTCTCCTGAAGGATAATAATCTAATGAAAGTTTTGTGTCACCTAACTGTTCTCAAAAATATTAACTGGATACATGCATCTTTCCAGCTTGAAAAACAAAATGTGTTAATGTTAAAGAAATTATACATCAGTCCTTTTTCATAAACAAAAACACAACTGCCGGTTTGTTTTTTCTTTAAAACTTTACTTTGAATGCTTTGATCATCCTAATTTCATAAGCACAGGCTAAGAGAGTCAAAGAATAGTAAAGGTCTGTGGAATACATAAAGGCTTAAAGATATTAAAAGAAAAAAGAGAAATAACTTATGGGTTAAAAACAGGTATGACAAGATAATAATGCCTTACTATACTGAGCATTTAAATGATATCTGTCATTATACTGAGCATGAAGTAAATACTCATTATTTGTTACTGTTCTGTGAGTATTTTTATTCTTGGAATTTGAAAATAGAGCAGCAACTATTTTTATACTCACAGAATATTTTTATACTTATCAGAAATTATGCTGATGAACTATCTTAAAGTGTCTGAATCAAATTTGTGCTCTCCCATTCTTGTTCTCAATAACCAAAAGAAACAAAGGATATTTGAAAAGGGATTCAAATTCATAATATGAAATATCTCATGGATATGCTATTCCTCAAAAAGACAAAAAACTAATATACATGGAAATACTTACTTTCAACACTGGATAAAGTACAGGGATTAGAGTCAATCAAAGCTAACTGAAAATGCTGCAAAAAAAAGTGAAGATATTAGTGAACATAATTCAGAGATGCATAAAGTCAACATTTATATTGAGACTTCATCATTGTGACATGTAGTGTGAAATCATGTTACTTATATAACTAAAATATAATACCTAACAAAAAACTACCATTCCTCGAAATCTATTGCGGAAACAAGTGTTTTCAAGTTATTTCCACGGGAAGTTTTTCTGGAGAAAAAGTGTCTTTACCAATGTATCTTATATCTATTTTTATTATAAAAAAGAAAGACATTTCAGTATAAAGTAATGATAAAAAGTCAGTTATAAGAATATCTAAATGAGATTTGATTCAGGTCACTATATTAAAAAACTATGAAATCCATCAGTATCTTTTAAAACATCAATGATTACCTTAAAATGAAATGTGGACTTTAGAAATGAAAAAATACTATTAGAAATCGCTTAAAGAATAAATCCTATAGGTTTTTATTCATTCTTCACTATCACTGTGTTTCAAGACACTAGAAAACTATAATTCACACTGAAATTCATCTAGAAAATATAGTTGTCCTTTAAAAAGGTATATAAACAGTGTAAAGCATATAGGATCATTCATGAAACATTAAAATTCTCCATTACCTATCAAATAAGTCTATATACAGTGCAAACAAATATATATCCTTAGAGAGTAATATTAGATGTAAACTAATATGAGTGAAGCAGAACAGGTACATAAAAGAAACATGACTGAAAAATTAATTACTAACTAGTACTAATTAATATGATAGAAATGCAAAACATAAAATACAATACTTTACATGTCAGATATATATATACAACTCACATGTATTTGTCAACAGGGTTATGACTTAAAACACAGGTTAACATTAAAACATGAAAATACTAGCTTTGATTAAACACTGAGTAACTAATGACTTGTATAATTATCAATATAAATGTCAGGGTTATACTAACTACTTAAGATACCACAGGCAACTTAATTAAGTTAGGTGAGAAAGAACAGACCTCTATCAACCATTCCACAAAATATTCTCAGAAATGCACAATTTTCAGAGCCTTCATTAATTTTTCAAAAATCAACTGTAATAAGATTAAGTAACCAAAGAATAAATTATTTAAAAAGTCAACTATATAAATGCCTTTCCTTTATATATTTTGTACATCTAAAATTATGATAGTCATACAAAAATTGTAAACACCAAGATGGACATGTAATCTAAAAAGTATCTTGTTTGTGAAAAGAATTCTTCAGTAAGTTTTAAGAACCATATTTCTTCAGAGTATCAAGGTGGAATCATCAAATATACATAGCTATGATTCCTCAGCAAGCTATAATTAACAACAAAATTGTTTGTTACCTGATACTGTATCAAAGACTGGTTATAAAAAGAATCATTTGGAAGAACACTGTAGGTGGTATGGTACAAGCAGCCTGTTATGCTCATATACCTTTAATAGCACAACTTTTTCAACAAATGGTAGTTCTGAAATATTTACTTGGAAAAGAATGAAGACGGACTGATATGTTACAGGTAAACATGAAGAGCTAAAACTATACACTTGATCTTAGCCAAAAGGCCGAGAAGCGATAGAGCTAAAACTATAAAGCTCTGAAAAGTGTGAAAATGGTTCTGGTGGATCCCAAAGGCATAGGCAACAACAAAAACAGACTAGGATTCTTAAAAATTAAAAACTTTTGTACATCAAAGGAAACTATTACTGGGAGAAAACATCTGAAATCATAGCTTTTATAAGGGATTAATACCCAGATTACATAAAGACACCAACTCAACAAGAAAAATCAAAGAACACAGTTCAAACCAGGGCAAAGGACTTTGGTGTACATTTTTCAAAAGAAGGCAAATGGTCAAATGCAGAAGGAAAGATCCAAATTAAAAAAAAAAAAAAAACAAAGATAAGATCAATTCATTTCCATTAGGACGGCTAATATCTTTATAAATGTCCATTTATATGTTATCTCTATATATACCATTATCTTTATAAATAATGGAAAAGAGGCTTGGGCAAGATGTAGAGAGATTCTGCAACCCCAGTGCACAGCAGTTGAGAATATAAAATATGCAGTCAGTGTGAAAAGTATAAAAATCCTCACAAAGTTAAATATACAATTCAAAAATTAGACTCCTAATTACATTCTTAAAAGAACTGAAAAAAGAGAGTCAAACAGACAGTTTTGCATAAACAGTTACAGTAACATTATTCACAACCTTCCAAAAAATGGAAACACTGAAAAGTCCATCAACAGATGAATGGATGAAATCACTGTGATACACACATGAAATAGAACATTATGTGCCATAAAAAAGAAGTTCTATAGATTCAAGAACATGAATGAACCCTAGCAACATTAAGCTTACTGAAACGAACCAGACATAATACTGTCTGATTCCACTTACATCGGGTAACCAAAACTGTCAAGTTCATAGAGTTAGAAAGTAGACTAGAAGAGTATCAGAAGCTGAGGGGAAAGGAAATTATTATTTAACATGTATAGAAGTTTCTATAAGAGATACTAAAAATTTTGGGAAATGAATACTGATAATGGTTATACAACACTGCAAACATAATTATTGTCACTAAATTGTACATTTGAAATGAAGTTGACGGCTTCCCGGGTAAAGCACCTGTGTGCCAATGTAGGAGATGCAGGTCATTTCTGAAAGACTGCATATGCTGTGAAGCAACTAAACTCATGCATCACAACTATTGAGCCTTTTGCTCTATAGCCCAGAAACTGCAACTGCTGAAGCTTGTGTGCTCTATAGCCTGAGCTCCACAAGACAAGCTGCCACAGTGAAAACTTCATGCAACAAGAGAGAGAGGCAATAGAGAAATGCGATAGAGAAAAGCCTATGTGGCAATGAAGACCCAGCACAGCCAAAAAGTATATTAAAAAAACAATATAGTTCAATGTATTTTTAAACACATAAAATATTTTAGCACAATAAAATAATATAAAAATACTGGAAAAAAATTTAGGTTAGCATGAATGTAATACATTTTAAAAATTTATTTAAAACATATACTGAAATTGATAATTATAATTTATTAAGATGCATGTAGCCCTTATATAGTTATTATTTCTTCTATGCTCAGTTGCTCAATTGTGTCCAACTCTTTGTGACCCCATGGACTGTAGCCTGCCAGGCTCATCTGTCCGTGGGACTCTCCAGGCAGAATACTGGAGTGGGCTTTCATTTCCTTCTCCATTATTCTTCTATAAACATAGTCAAAAGTGTACAAAACATCCAGAGGATACAGTTATGTAAGATACTACCTCCAATAAAATAAAATCATTTCATGGGTATATGTCAACTCTCTGTACCATTTTCTAAATTCAAATATTTTTATGGTAGTTGCTTTACAATGATGTGTTAGTTTTAAGTGTGTAGCAAAGTGACTCAGTCATATCTATACACACATCCATTCTTTTCAGATTCCTTTCTTATATATGTCATTACAAAGTATTGAGCACAGTTTGCTTGTTAATTATCCTTGTTAAGTCCTTGTTAATTATCTACTTTATATATCAATCCAGTCCAGTCACTCAGTTGTGTCCGACTCTGTAATCCCATGGACTGCAGCATGTCAGGCCTCCCTGTCCATCAGCAACTCCCGGAGTTTACCCAAACTCATGTCCATTGAGTCAGTGATGCCATCCAACCATCTCATCCTCTGTCGTCCCCTTCTCCTGCCTTCAATCTTTCCCAGCATCAGGGTCTTTAAAATAGTCAGTTCTCCGCATCAGGTGGCAANCATCAGGTGGCCAAAGTACTGGAGCTTCGGCTTCAGCATCAGTCCTTCCAATGAACACCCAGGACTGATCTCCTTTAGGATGGTTGGTTGGATCTCCTTGCAGTCCAAGAGACTCTCAAGAGCCTTCTCCAACACAGCTAAAAAGCATCAGTTCTTCAGCGCTCAGCTTTCTTTATGGTCCAACCCTCACATCCACATGTGACCACTGGAAAAACCATAGCTTTGACTAGACGGACTTTAGTTGGCAAAGTAATGTCTTTGCTTTTCAATATGCTGTCTAGGTTGGTCATAACTTTTCTTCCAAGGAGCAAGTATCTTTTAATTTCATGGCTGCAATCACCATCTGTGTGATTTTGGAGCGAGCAAAATAATGTGTCACTATTTCCCCATCTATTTGCCATGAAGTGATGGAACCAGATGTCATGATCTTAGTTTTCTGAATGTTGGGCTTTAAGCCAAATTTTCACTCTCCTCTTTCACTTTCATCAAGAGGCTCTTCAGTTCTTCTTCACTTTCTGCCATAAGGGTGGTGTCATCTGTATATCTGAGGTTGCTGATATTTCTCTCAGCAATCTTGATTCCAGCTTGTGCTTCATCTAGCATATTTTACACACAGTAGTGTGTAAACGTCAATCCCAACCTCACAATGTAAATTCCCACCCCTTGCCTGAAACCACAGGTTTGTCATCTACTTCTATGACTCTTCTTTTTTTTTAAATTGCATGATAATTTACTATGATCTGAAATTTGTAAGTTAATAATAAATCCAAAACAGGAAAAACATTTTTTACTCAGGAACATGCAATATTTAACACTTTGAATACTGCTTTCATTTTCATCCATTCTGCAGAACTAAATACATATCCTTAGTGTGTTACCAGAGGCAAGTCAAACCTATTTTAAATATATATATATATTATTTAAAAATATATATTTAGTAACTGCTTTCCTCTTTTCTTTCCCTGCTTTTCCTATTTGAAAAGACCCTAATGCTGGGAAAGATTGAAGGCAGGAAGAAAAGGGGAAAACAGAGGATGAGATGGCTGGATGGCATCACTGAGTCAGTGGACATGAGTTTGAGTAAACTCTGGGAGTTGATGATGGACAGGGAGGCCTGGCAAGCTTCAGAAAGAGAAGCATAACAGTCCCACTACATACCATAGTACACTTTAAAGTCTAACTGATCTTGAAAACATACTAATGGTAATCTGAGATAACAAAGTCATCTAAAGAAGTAAACTGCCCTTGAAAGAAATACACTTCCAAGATGACAGTATTTAATTACTATTAAAGGAACACTCCAAAAAGTGTTTGTATAAAAAGAGATTTGTATAATTTGAAATCCCCATCTAATCTCTGTATTCAAAATCATAAACACAAAAAAAATTTCCACAAACTTTTGAAAGCAGCAGGAATATGTATTACTACTGGAAAACAAATCTCAAACAACATAAAATGTTAAAATATTTCGAAACAACTGTTGCAAATACTGCTGCAAATGTTGACAACTCCTGATACCAAAAGCAAAGCAAAAAAAGTGAAAAATAAGCAAATGGGACTACATCAAAGTGACTGAACAATAATAATACATATATATGCCAGTTAGCCAAAAAAAGAATACAGTAATGCCATTTGCAGCAATGTGGATAATACTGTACTTAGTGAAATAAGCTGGAAAAAGACAAAACACTGTATAGTATCACTTACATGTGTAATTTTAAAAATATATACAAATATGGGTTTCCCAGGTGGCTCAGAAGGCAAAGTGTCAACTTGCAGTGTGGGAGACTTGGGTTCAATCCCCATGTGGGGAAGATCCCAGGAGAAAGAAATGGCAGCCCACTCCAGTACTCTTGCTTGGACAATTCCATGGATGGAGGAGCTATATAGTAAAACAGATGACGACTCTTTTTTATAAGGAAACCTTATAAAAGGTTACCAAAGGGAAGAGGGATAGGTAGGTTTGAGCACATCACAGGGATGCTTTCAAGAGATAAGAATGATATATTTGCAGCCATTATCTTACAGTAACTTCTAATGGAGTATATATAATCTGTAGAAATACTCTAACACTATGGTATACACCTAAAACTAATAAAAGCATCCTAACATTCTGTTTTCATACAAATTGTGAGAAGTTTAAAATAGGGCAAAATTGGCACAGGAAGGAAAAATTACATACCCCCCCAATTTTTTTGCTAAAACTGGCATCCTTTGAAGATCTGTTACTCTTTACCTAAACAAACTTGCCTGCTGGCTCACATGGTAAAAGAATCCACCTGCAATTCAGAGACCCGGGTTATATCCTGGGGTCGGAAACATCCACTGGAGACAAGAATGGCAACCCACTCCAGTATACTTGCCACAGACAGAGGAGTCCATGGCATTGAAGAGTTGGACATGAGTGAACAGCTAACATAATAAACAAAGAAAGTGCATATAAAACTAGTTCTGCTATACATGAGAAAACAAAAACACTTTTTTTAAATGATAAGGCAGTGAACATTATCAAACTTTGCCCTGCCCAAGTAAATGATAGTTCACATACTGCCAATTTTCAGAAAACACATAAAATGCCGTATGATAACACGTTACAAAAAAATTACACTGTGTTTAACTTATTTTCTGCTGTGAAACATGTATTTTTGATAGGTTAATGGAAACACTTTGAGTATATAAATAAAAGGAGTTAAAGTATAGAAGGTGTGATATAGTTGCTTTACATTTTAAATCCACTGACCTCCTACAGCATACAGTTTGATAAACTATATTCTAATCTTAATAGAAAATTACTGATAAACACAATCCCATTCTCTGAACCAAGTGTGTTTAACCGTGGACTTATTCCTCAGCTACATTTATATCCAACCTCTGTTTGATCTAAATTCTTTACAGTCTACTTGCAATGTTCTTCGCTGAATTCTGTATGCTCTCAGGATCACTCCTATATAAACCCATAAACTGCCAACACAGGCTGAGGAATTTAGTACTTTAAAACTTGAAAAAATTAAGGAATTAAATGAGTATGGAGCACAGTAAGGAATTTACTCAACTGGTCTGCACTTCCACATACAAAAGAAACCTATAGTGTTAAGAAACTGCTGAGAATCTCTTAAGCCTTTAGAATATCCTGACTTACAAGTATACCTTTGAATACATAGGGCCTTGAGTGATAAGATAGCTTCTTCTAACAATATTATACATTATGGAGACCTAACGTTGTCAGTTCAATGCATAAAACAGCTGGTTGAGTCACTAAAACTAAGGCCAGTCAGATGGCTCTATCTATACCAAAGTTCAATATTATACACATATATACACTGCATGGAAAAGAGCAAAACCCTGGAAATGCTTGGTGAACTTCTCTGGCTGGCAATACTCCTTGTATGAAACTAAACATCATTTCAGGGAGAATAAAGTGCTATCCACATGATTATAATGACTTATGACAGTGGACTTTGGCACTCTTGACTGTCTTTGTCATCTTTTTCCTCTGAAATTTTCATTTGCATTTTCACTCTAATAAACCATAACTATCAACTGTTTTATGAGTTCACCAACCTCTGCCAAACCACTAACCTTGAGGTTAGTAGTAAGGGAGACCTTCAATCACATTAGTTATTAGGTAGCCTTTAGTTCACATTTTCCTTGTTATTGAGTTTAGCTTTATGTTAGATGCACATATGCACACCACCAATTAAGATAGTCTGGAATACATCTCTATGGGGATAAGAGCAAACATTCTAGAAAATCATAAATTCTCAAAATTACAAGCTTTTCTCCAGAAACCTGAATTCTTTCAAAGAGCAATGCTGACACATAGGGAAATCTCGTTCCCATTAAACCCTTGGAAAGCATAAAATGACAGCACAAACCCAGAAATTAAAAAAAAAAAATTTTAATAGTGACAAATTTCCATTAAAATAAGAAACATTTTACAATTATGTACTGTTTTTTAAAATGATGTTCATATTTACCAAGTAGCAGTCCAGAACTGTTAAAAGATAAATACATCTATTAAATACTTTCGTGATGACACACATCATGCTATTAAAAACAGGTAGCTTTCTAATCAGACACATAAAATAATAGTAAATAATTCAATCCTAAGACAGCATCACTAACCAACTCTTCGCTGTTATAGTGGCTAGTCATATACTGGAACTGTTTTACATATACTCAGATGAAATAAAGATCATCAATATCGACTAATCAAAAACATCAGTATTAACATGTTATTAAAGTATACAAAAGACTAAAGCACTAAAAAGTTTTCCTGTAAATATTACCACTCTGTCTACTTGGTACACTGAAAGCCAACTCTTTTTCCCCTTTAAGTTCATATGCTAAATTCACTCATTTTCCAATAGCAGTAATATAAATTCTAACATTTCTCAACACTCTATAACATTTACAACAAACACACACACAAATACCAAGCAGTGCATATCTAGGAAAAGCCCCAACCACCTACCTTTAAACTAGATTCATAGTCTGTGTTCACTTTGAACATAAGCCCAAGTCGTAAATGAATCTCCTTTGCTCGACAAAAGCTGGGCTCAACATAAAGCACCTCCTGAAATGCTTTAATTGCCCTTGAAAAATACAAATGGAAGAAAGTATAAGATTAATATTAACTATATCTGCCTAGGGAGTACACAAAATACAATGATTATACAATTTTAAAAGAAATGTCAACTTTTAAAACTATGAACAAATAGTACAATTATTAGAAAACTCCTCTAACTCCTCACATCATTTGGCAAAACTGTAAAATAGATTTATTAACTTTTCCGTGTAAATAGCTAATTAAAATTCTCTGAAACACCACAGAGAAGACAATACGAGAATGACATGAGGGTAAGAATATTAACCTTCTTCTATACTGCTCCACAGAAGTATATATTAGAAGGCTTCAGTTCAATTCAGTCACTCAGTTGTGTCTGACTCTTTGCGACCCCATGGACGGCAGCACGCCAAGCCTCCCTGTCCATCAGCAACTCCCGGAGTTTACTCAAATTCGTATCTGTTGAGTCAGTGACACCATCCAACCATCTCATCCTCTGTCGTCCCCTTCTCCCGCCTTCAATCTTTCAAAGCATTAGGGTCGTTTCAAATGAGTCAGTTCTTCCCATCAGGTGGCCAAAGTACTGGAGCTTCGGCTTCAGCATCAATCCTTCCAATGAATATTTGGGATTTATTTCCTTTAGGATGGACTGATTGGATCTCCATGCTGTCCAAGGGACTCTCAAGAGTCTTCTCCAACACCATAGTCAGTATTCAGCTGTCTTTATGGTCCAACCCTCACATCCATACATGACAATTGAAAAAACCATAACTTTGACTAGACGGACCTTAGATGGCAAAGTAATGTCTCTGCTTTTCAATATGCTGTCTAGGCTGGTCATAACTTTGCACTGTGTGTCTGTGTGTGTATACATATACATATATATATAGTAAGTCCTCCTCAGACAACCATTTTGCCTTTTCACATTTCTTTTTCTTGGGGATGGTCTTGATCACTGCCTCCTGTACAATGTCACAAACCTCTGTCCATAGTTCTTCAGGTACTCCATCATATCTAATTCCTTGAATCTACTTCTCATTTCCACTGTATAATCAAAAGGGATGTAATTTAGGATTTGATTTGATTCAAAAGGCTTACTTCACCTATCACACTTTACATTCTGTTTGGAACCTATTTTAAATACAGTATGACTCAGAAAGGGACGAGTAATTGTTTTTGTAATATGGGATTACTACTGTACCAAATGATCTGTGAAAAAAACACTCTTGCCCTCACAGCAGTGGAGTGCTACCAGCATCATTAAGTAAAGGATCCATGTTTATGGAACTGTTTCTAACTTCCATAATCAACTTCAATCTTCTTTTGTCTATCGTGCTCTATTTCTATTCTGCCTTGACTATTATGTCATTTTCAGTTCAGTTCAGTTCAGCTGCTCAGTCATGTCTGACTCTTTGCAATCCCATGAATCGCAGCACGCCAGGCCTCCCTGTCCATCATCAACTCCCCGAGTTTACCCAAACTCATGTCCATTGAGTCGGTGATGCCATCCAGCCATCTCNAAGCAGGGTGACAATATACAGCCTTGATGTACTCCTTTTCCTATTTGGAACCAGTCTGTTGTTCCATGTCCAGTTCTAACTGTTGCTTCCTGACCTGCATACAGGTTTCTCAAGAGGCAGGTCAGATGGTCTGATATTCCCATCTCTTTCAGAATTTTCCACAGTTTATTGTGATTCACACAGTCACAGACTTTGTCATTTTAACAGGTCTTCATTATTAATGCAGAAAATCTAGATATGTTGGAAATGTTTTTATAAGTACTTGGAACATGTGAATTATTACTTCCTCAAAAACAAGTATGACAGGAGAGACAAAGAGTCTATTTTGAATCTCAATTATTCTGTTCTCTCAAAACCCCTAAAGTTAATATTAAGATTGTAAATGTTTCCAAAGTCAGTCCTTTTGATATTATAAAAGAAAGCCTACAGCAGTCATATCACAATTTAGGATTAAGCAATATACCACATGCCTTTAGTAAGCTTTGTTACAGTCAAAATTCTACTTCTCAAATTCTGTGGTTATATATATATTTAGTGCAAAAACAAGTATTTCAAAAAGAAGATTTCCTCTGGGAAATACAAAGACATCATATAAAGATGAGTTGTTACAATCCATAATCATCTTTCACATTAACTTAACCCTGTCATATACTTATCAAGTAATGAGCATTTTGAATCTACAGATTTATCGCTCATGATTTTACATTCTTATCTTCACTTCTAACAGAGCTCATGAGTTACCATAAGTACATGAAAATTATTCACTGTAAGTCGCACCAAAAACTTACAGTTCTTTGTTGTAAGTCTTATATTGGATTTCACCTACATTTGTCTGGACTAGCTAAAATGACTATATGTGTACAACTGCAAGGGATGATTTTAAAACATCCATTTTTCCATCTTCATAAGACAAAGTACAGTAAATTATTCTATTTGGTGTAACTTATTTCTAAACACATCTCACTAAAAACTGTTTAAGTCCTGCTGCTAGCTTCTATAACCATTTATATTCTTCCCGTTTGTAACTGACCATAAATAAGTTCATTAATCCAATGCCAGCAACAGTTTTGTTAAAAGAAAGGAAGGGAGGGAGGCAGAAAGGAAGCAAGAAAAGAGGGAGGGAAAAAAGAAAATCCTTTTTTGTTTGTTTAAGCACCGAGTATGTTTTAAATTATATAGTCTTGAACATGAAGCCTCCTTACAAAACTAAATGAATGATTAAGAAAAACTAAATAAAAATGAACACATTTTATTTCCCTTGTCAACAAAATTTTAAAATTTAAATGATCTCTAAGATCTTTTCTACTTCTAAAGTTCAGATTTTTCCAATGTGTGAAAAGGATTTTCAGGCAATTTACAGACCTTAAAATTGTCCCAATTCACTATCAATCTCAAACAGGATTCAAAATAAAAGATAAGTGAATTATGTTTCATTCATCTAGAAATCTTTTTTAAGAGATATATTCTTAGGTAAGAAATATAGTTCATTTTTTAAAAGTGTTGTAACATCTATAAATTATCCAGAAGTTTACACAGCAAACTTCAGAACATGAAAAAATTAATTCACCAAAAAGCCAAGAAGTAAGATAAATTATTATGTAGGCAAGTCATACAACTGAAAGCTGAATGTTTCTTCACCTTTGTGAAACCATAACAAATACTGGTCAATGTATATTTAACAACTCTGTAGTAAATATTCAGAATGACCTATAGGACATGATTGCAAACACTAGTGGTATACTCATTTATCTTTCTTTGAATTCTTATAGTACTTAAAAATTTAAAAAGGACAAAACCAAAAAAGCTTCCTATTGTTCACAGTTTATAAAAGCTTATATATTACTATCACAGTTAATCCTCAACACTGAAGAGGTATCATTCCTACTGAGGAACATGGATAATTTATAATCAAGTTAGCAAATATGCTGACTGAAGGGGATGATGGCCAAATGATTTGAATCTACGAAGGAAACCATGCTACTAATGAGATGAGAGTTTACTAACACTAAAACATTTTATGTGCTGGTCATTTATATGTGCGTACATATACACACAGAGGGAAAAGATCTGATGTAAGTCAACTTACCAGTGAAATGCATTGTAATAGAAGTAAACCAAACCAAGGCCATATAAAAATGCTGCATTCTGTTAAAAAAAAAAATCATTTAAAAGCTTTTATGTTTACTGTTCATGTTATTAAGAAATATAGAACATAAGATTCTCATCAGTTCTAAAAATTCTATCCTGTATTACAGAATAATGAGAAAAAGCAACGAGTTTATGAACCAACAGGTAATGCAGAAGCAAAAAACTTGGAAGAAATGTTTTGATTCTTTTCATTAAGCTCACAGTGAAAACAATATTTTCAACTCCTAAAAACACCTCTGAAACCAGAAATTTGTTCCAAATAGTCACAGCAATCCAGAGAATGAAGACAAAATTGAAGGAATCACATTACCTGATTTCAAACTACACTACAATGCTGTACTAACAAACAACAGTATGGTAATAGGTGCTATAAAAATAACAGCACAGAGACTGAAAGAACAAAGTAAAGAATACAGAATTAAATCCACATACTACGGTCAACTAATTTTTCAGAAGGGAGCAAAGGATACCTAGCTGCAAAGGGATAGGCTCTTTATCTCTTTAAAAATGATGTTGGGGAAATGGATAAACCCATGCAAACTACTAAAACTGGACTCTTATCTTATACTTGGAGAAGGGAACAGCAATACACTCTAGTATTCTTGCTACGGAATTCCATGGACAGAGGACCCTGGTGAGCTATGGTCCATGGCACTGCAGAGTTGGAAGCGGCTGAGAGGCTAACAAACACTACTCACAAAAGAGTAACTCAAAATGGATTAAGACTTAACATACAAAGGCTTATACTATAAACCTTCCTTGAAGAAAATACAGGGAAGAAGCTCCCTAACTTGGGTCCAATCAGTTTCTTGTACACAGCACAACAGCAAAATAAAAAATCAACAAATAGAACTAGATGAAACATAAAAACTTCTACCAAAAGAAACAATTAAAAACATGAAAAATTCTACAGATTGGAAGAAATTTTCCAAATGTTGTAACATTCAAGATTCATGGAAAGAGCTTAAAATATAAAAATTACAAAAAACTGATGTTAACCCTTACAGATGATGTTGAGAAGTTTAAGGCTTCAGTGTAGGAAATAACTGCCAATGAAATGGAAATAGCAAGAGAAATAGAATCAGAAGTGGAGCCGGAAGAGGTACTGAATCATTCTAATTTATAAGAAAACTTTAACAGATGAGAGGTTGCTCTTTACAGATGAACAATGGAAACTCTTTCTTGAAATGGAATAAAGTCCTAATGAAAATGCTGTGAAGACTACTGAAATAATAAAAAAGGATTTAGAATATTACATAAACAGCTGTTAAAGCAGAAGCAGAGTCAGTCTAAGTAGCAAACTGACTACAAATTTGAAACTTCTAGTGTGGGTAAAACAATGCCATCAAACACCATTTGTACTACTGAAAAACTACTTTTGAAATAAGTCAGTCAACGTTGCAAACTTCACTGTGGAATTAAGAAACAGCCATACCAATCCTAATCTTCAGCAACCATCACACTGATCAGTTAGGAGACATCAACATCAAGAAAACACATTCCATCAACAAAAAGACTGTCAGTCACTGAAGGCTTATATCTTTTTTTAACTTTTACTTGACTTTTACTTTTTGCTATGTTGTAGAATTTACTTATTTCTAAGAATTTTGTAGACGTATACTTGATTTACAATATAATCATTTTTAAATAAAGGTGTGTACTTTTTCTTAATTTATTTTTGACTGCGCTAAGTGTCTTGCTACATGGGCTTTCTCCAATTGTGGCCAGTCAGGGCTACTCCAGGTGTAGTAGGAGGGCTTCTCATTGCTATGGCTTCTTTTGATGCAGAACACGGGCTCTAGAGAGCAGAGGCCAATAGTTTTGCACACAAGCTTAGCTGACCCTCCACATGTGGGATCTTCCTGGACCAGGGATCAAATAAATGTTCCCTGCACTGGTTTCCTGCAGACCTTTAATCACTGGACCTCCAGGGACATACTTGTACATTTTTTTCCAAGATATGTTACTGCACACTCAGTAAAACTATAGTACAGTGTAAATATAACTTTTTTTAAGCACACATACACAAAAAACTAGTATGACTCACTTTAATGCAATATTCGATTGACAGTAGTCATTTGGGTTTTATCCTCATCCATCAGAGGGCAGACGTAAAGAAAACCAGAATCACAGAAAACTAACCAAACTCATCACTTGGATAACAGCCTTGTATAACTCAACAAAACTGAGTCTTGCCATGTAGGGCCATCCCATGATGGGCGAGTCACAGTGGAGATCTGACAAAATGTGCTTGACTGGAGAAGGGAATGGCAAACCACTTCAGCATTCTTGTCTTGTGAACTTCAGAATCAGTATGAAATGGCAAAAAGATAGGACACTGAAAGATGAACTTTTCAGGTCATTAGGTGCCCAATATACTCCTGGAGAAGAGTTGAGAAATAGCTTCAGAAGGAATGAAGAAGCTGAGCCAAAGCAAAAACAATGGCCAGTTGTGGATGTGCCTAGTGGTAAAAGTAAAGTCCAATACTGCAAGGAACAATATTGCATAGGAAACTGGTATATTAGATCCATGAGTCAAGGTAAATTGGAAATTGTCAAACAGGAGATGGCACGAGTGAACATTGACATTTTAGGAACTGATGAACTAAAATGGACTGGAATGGGTGAATTAAAATCAGAAGGCCATTATGTCTACTACTGTGAGCAATCCCTTATAAGAAATGGAGCAGCCTTCATAGTAAACAAGAGTCCAAAATGCAGTACTTGGGTGCAATCTCAAAGACAAAAGAATGCTCTCAGTTCATTTGTAAGACTAATCATCAATATCACAGTAATCTAAGTCTTTGCCCAACCATTGATGCCAAAGAAGCTGAAGTTGAACAGTCCTATAAAGACCTACAAGACCTTCTAGAACACCAAAAAAGATGTCCTTATCATCACAGGGGACTGGATGCAGAAGCAGGAACTCAAGAGATACTTGCAGTAACAGGCAAGTTTGGAATAGGAATACAAAATGAAGCAGGGAAAAAGCTAACAGAGTTTTGCCAAAAGAACACAGTCATAGCAAACACCCTCTATCAAGAACATGAGCGACAACTCTACATATGGACATCACCAGATGTTCAATACTGAAATCAGTTTGATTATATTCTTTGCAGCCAAAGATGGAGAAGTTCTATACAGTCAGAAAAAAAGGAAAACAAACCAGGAGCTGACTGTGGCTCATATCATGAACTCCTGATTGCAAAATTCATGGATGAAACTGGAGCCCATTATACAGAGCGAAGGAAGCCAGAAAGATAAAGACCATTACAGTATACTAACACATATATATGGACTTTAGAAAGATGGTAACGATAACCCTATATGCAAAACAGAAAAAGAGACTCAGATGTATGGAACAGACTTGTGGACTCTGGGAGAAGGCGAGGGTGGGATGTTTCAGGAGAACAGCATTGAAACATGTATATTATCTAGGGTGAAACGGATAACCAGCTCAGGTTGGGTACATGAGACAAGTGCTCGGGCCTGGTGCACTGGGAAGACCCAGAGGGATCGGGTGGAGAGGGAGGTGGGAGGGGGGACTGGGATGGGGAATACATGTAAATCCATGCCTAATTCATTTCAATGTATAACAAAAACTACTGTAATGATGTAAAGTAATTAGCCTCCAACTAATAAAAAAAAAACTCAAAACAAAAAAAAAAAACAAAAAAAGAAAAACACAGGCATAATGCTCTCTGTCAAAATCACAGCAAACCCTTTTCAATCTGTCTCCCAGAGTAATGGAATTTAAAACAAAAACAAACAAGGAATAAAATTAAGTGCTTTTGTACAGGAAAAAACAAAATGAAAACATGACCCACAGAACAGGAGAAAATATTTGTAAACACTTGTGACTAACAAGGGACTGACCTCCTAAATTTAAAAATATCTCATGTCTTAATATTATCAAAACAAACCCAATCAAAAAATGGGAAGATCTAAATAGACATTTTCCAAAGAAGATACAAAGAAGAGTAAGAAACACATGAAAACCGAATTAGTTTTATCACTAACTACATTGTTGTTTTCATTCGGTTGCTAAGTTATGTCCAACTCTTTTCTGACCCCATAAATCACACAATGCCAGGCTTCACTGTCTTTCACTATTTCCCAGAGTTTGCTCAACCTCAGGTCCATTGAGGCAGTGATGCCACTCAACCATCTCACCCTCTGTTGCCCCATTTTCCTCCGAAGGCCCACTTGGCTTTCTAAGGCCCAAGTGACTTCACACTCCAGGATGTCTGGCTCAAGATGAGTGACTACAACATCATGGTTATCCAGATCATTAAGACCTTTTTGTACACTTTTGCATATTCTTGCCACATCTTCTTAATTTCTTCTGCTTCTGTTAGGTTCTTGCCATTTCTGTCATTAGAAAAATGCAAATAAATCAAAAGTACAAGGAGATACCACTTCACATTAGTCAAATGGACAGCAATCAAAATTAGCAAATGTTGAAGAGTATGTGGAAAAAATGGAACCCTTCTACCCTACCAGTGGGAATGTTAATTGGTAAAGCCACTATGGGGAGCAGTATGGCAGTTCCTTAAAAAGCTAAAATAGAGCCACCATATGACCCTGCAATCCCACTCCTGGGAGTTTATCCTGAGAAAAACATGATCCAAAGGATACATGCACCCTAACGTTGCACTGCTCACAATACTCAAAAAATGAAAACAACCTAAATGTCCACCAACAGAGGAATGTGGCATAAATATCAGCCATAAGAAAGAATGAAATAATGCCATTTGCAGCATAGATGGACTTAGAGAGTGTCACAATGAGTGATGAAGTCAAAGAGAACACTCAGACAGAAAAAGGAATACCATATAATATGGGAATTCAGGGGGCAGGAGGGAAATGATACACATGAACTTATTTACAAGACACAGTCCCACCAACAGAGAATGAACTTAAGGTTATCATGAGGGAAGGGTGGAGAGTTTGGAATTGACATGGACAGGATTTAAGCCAGAGCACCACTTGCGATT